ACTCGACATTGGGATTTTTTTATTTTTTTTTAACACAAGGCTCCAATCTATTCGTGGGGAGCAGCACGTGCTGGGAACCGGGCCCAACATCCCATATGAAAATTTAACAAATAGTTTGGAAATATCGCTAAGAAACAAAAACATATGCACAATTTAGAAAACGACTCAGACACCCGCAATCAATCCCCTGTACCCCACTCTGGCAAGACTTACTGCAGCAGAGCCACCATCTCCGCTGCTGTTGTACCCTATTCCCATCCTACTAGCTAGCCCCCTTACTAGTAGGATGCGTGATATCCCACCTTCTCCTTCTCCCACTCACCTCGATCTCTTGAGAAAACGTCTGAGCAATACGAAAAGGATGGGAATAGACCGCATAGGTCCTAAAAATGCTCCAAAACCCTCGAAATCCCTAACAAACCCTTCCAATGCTCTCCAACACTGTTTTACTCCCTGCCGATCTCTTCCAGGCGTGCCGATCTCTTCCAGGCCTCACGCCCCCGCATCGTGCTAGGTTACAGGGCAACACAACTCACCCCAGCTCCGACCAGCGTCGTCCCAACAGCAATCCTTGGTCGTCCCGTGGAATGCCCACCCCAAAGCATCCCCATATCTCTCTACAAGGCCTTACGCTCCTGCATCAGCAAGTTACAGGGCAACACCCCAGCACCGGCTGGCGTTGTTCTGGCATCGAACAACCACAGGTTACTGAGTATAACAGCGTCGAAGCCACCGAAGACAAAGTTGCTAGGAATCCCCAAAGTGCTGAAACATTCTTAAGACTACATGTAACGAGGGATTATTTGGGACTGTACCAAAGACTTGGTGTTGACGACATTCCCATCTTCCTCTCTTCTCCGTATAACCCCCCTCTTCTTCGTCTAACCCCCCTCTTCTTCGTCTGTATATAGTTGGGGATTGACACATTCTTCCTATGTGAGCGCCAGACCCCTTCACACCATGGAATGATGATGATGTATGTTTGGTCTGCATGGCAACATTGATTGTTTGGATCATTGGTATTTACGCCTTCCGCTGTGTTATCTTGTACTTTGTGAGAGAGGTCGGTTCTTGTTCTGGTCTGTACCGTTACGGTATGCGACAGTTTGGTATCGGAGCTGACCTCTCAATCAGAGGATCCACCCAGTCAAGTAGCCAGCTTGCTTGATCTGCTGATTGTAGAATGATTGATTGAGTGATTGGTTGACTGTTTATTAGTAAATCAAGTAGGACTTCGTCAAATCTCTGCAATTTTTTTTTTCTTTCTCGCAACAAATACATGAAAATTTCTGATATAAACATTTCATTTTCACGCAGCAAATACCTGAAAATTTATGATAGTAGCATTTCGTTTCTCTGATATTAGCATCCGAAAATTTATGATATTAGCATTTATAGCCGAAAATTTCTGATGTTTAGCATCTCGTTTTTTTGGGCATACAGGTTAACAAGGGAGGTGGTCATATTCTTGGAAACTGGATTTATTCTTTTCTGAAAATTGAGCCTCCATTCTATTTCGCAAAAAAATTTGGTTCCTGAAAGCCTATCGACATTTTGTTTGCTAGGCATAATAGGAGGTTGTCATATTCTCGGAAACTGGATTTAGTCTTTTCTGAAAATCGAATCTCTATCCTATGTTCGCATAAATTGTTTTTTTTTCAAAATTGCAATTTTCTTTTTGAAAAACGAAATTTTGCATAGCCTTGCCTAGATCTTACTCTTAGCACTCCTTCGTAAAATGCCTCACTGATAGCAAATCGACAGATATACAAAAAAAAATAATAATAATGAAAGGGCGGGTGATCCTCTTCTTTTATTTTTTATTTTTATTCTATTGATTAGGACCGGGAGGAAAGTACAGTTTGGTTGGTTACCTTCCTGCGTTTTCCCTCCCACCCAACCCTTTTGCCTGCATTCCCATTTTGGTAAGTGCCATGTCAGCAGTACTATGACAGCAGCAGTGCCACGTCAGCAGCAGGGCCACGTCAGCAGTACCTCGTCAGCCAATAAGTGCAGCTAATGCTCCGATGCAGCAAACGCATCGCAGCATGTGAAGGGCGGACAGCCGCAGCGGAACAACAACTACCCTTGCCCCACCCCTCTGCAATGGATGCCCAGGGCAACCCCACGCTGGACAATGCCACATCCGGCAGTCCACGCGAGGCGTGCAGCTCGAACCCCCTGGTCCCACAGGTCCAGCAGGTGGGTTCCACTGCGACACCTGCGGGAGCCCTCGATGCGGCGCCATTCCGGCAACAAGGAGAGGCCATGATGGCCTTCCAAGCCCACCTGGGCACCTACATGCAACAAGTACGAGAGGAACAGCAATGCGAGGCGGCAGCCGAAACGGCACACCTCAACGCCATTGCACGCGACGCGGAGCAACGACGTCGGCAACATGGTGAAGCACCTGCCAACCATAACAAAGCTCGAAAAGATGCCGCATCTGTCCTCATGCAGCAGGAAACCGCTCATACCGCTACACTCCAAGCATGGAATGTTGATCCAGCGCAGACGACGGAACCAACTGCGGAGGAGCAGACCAAGTCAGCCCTCGCGAACATGATGCACCAAGTCATCCTCACTTGTAATGGGCAACAAGTGGAGCTGGCTCGGCAGGCACGTACCATTGCTGAGTACGAGGAGACTTTCAAGAACCTCCATGCCCGCCTTGACGTGCTGGAGAAGGATGACGTGCCGCACAGGCACACGGCATCGCCAATCATTGATCCATCCATCCGCGAGCTGGAAGAACGAATGGATCATCTAGTGGCGCTCGTCGGAAAGTTGAATAGTTTCCGACAACCGGGGACCATCAGCCATCAAATAGCCGCCCTACAAGCGGATCTGCGTCAGCTGCAGCAGCAACGAACTGGGACCTGAAACATTCACCAACGAGCTCTCCATCCACTTGGTCCCACCAGAGTCGAAGATCTCAACACTCTACCTCTGCAGCACCGGTGCCAGCCAAGTGTGGCTCAAACACCTGGCTCAAACCGAAGGCGTCGAAGTCTCTAAGCTTTACACCAAGATCACTTGGGAGGCCATGACCGAGAAGTGGCGAAAACGCTTCATCGTCGACGACGCTCAAGGCAAACGCGTGCACCGGATCTTCAGCATGCACCAAGGCAGCCAACCAACACGCAAATGGCTAGCCGAATGACAGAAACTCTTGATGATTCCGAATCTGGACATACTGTATGTACATCTTCGTCGCGAATTCTTCCAGCGGTCGGTTGACACGTTGAGCACGGCCCTTGGGGAGCGCAGCCTATACACGGACTTTGATCAGATCGTGGATAAGGCGCGCAAAGTCATCCAAACAAATCGGTGGGTCACCAACGAGCTGCGAAGCCAACCAAATTTTGTGGAAAAGGGCAAAGGCCCCTGGCTGCAGCAAGTTGCTGCTGTCCAATACAATGGACAAGAGGACGACCAGGCGCTGACTCATGAGTCCAGTCAAGGAGATGGAGTCAACGCCCTTCCGCCACGACACAACGACAAGAAGAAAAAGATGAAATATGCATCAACAACGGAAGTCGGACAACCGAACGAGCCATGGAAGAAGTTCAGCCTCATGGAGGCTCAATACAAGCTCCGCCAGAGGTGGAACAATTGCTACTGGTGCAACAGCACCAAGCACACGACGTCGCAATGCCCTGACAAAGGCAAAGAAGACGTCCATCTACGACAAAGCTCGGGAAACTGAGCTCGGGGGAAGTGAGGCGACTCCACTTCCTACTCCGCCGGACACGGTTGCCTTGCTAGCAACCTCCTCCACGTCCGAGGAACATGCGTATGTCGCCAGTCTTCACGAAGGTTATGAAGACTATTCTGTCCAGCTGGTCTCGCCGTTGGACCAAATATGCGTGCACGACTTCAACACCATCGCAAGTGAACCAACATCCTCGCCAACACCATTCGGGGACTCGCCGACTTGAGAGCTCGACCCATTGACACCGGAGGACGTCCAATGGTTGCCTCGTACCCCTAGTTCCTTGTCGAAGCCTCATTGCAACGCCCTAATGGCGGAACTACGCACCTACTTGCACGCTGCAGTACCAGCTCCGTTGATGGAAGACGGAGTAGCGGTTGTTGACCTTCACAAGTACACTGCGAAGATTGACCGCGAGTACGCCGCGCAACGGTACGACAACATCGACGCACTGTTACTCTACGTCCGCATTCAGATTGGGAAGGCAATCTGCAACGCCTTGATTAATTGTGGAGCTACTCGCAACTACATCAACCAAGACTTCATGACGCACGCCGACCTTGGGCCGCGCGTTCGAAGGAAATTGCAGCCCATGCAAGTCACATTGGCCGACGGTCGCACACACAAGTCCATTGACCGGTGTATTGACTCCGTCCCTGTGTACTAAGTACTTCGCCCCGCATGCACACGAGGTCGTGTCCTTTGACATATTGGACACACAGTTCGGCATGATTTTGCGCATGTCGTGACTGCGCAGCGAGGACCACCCGGTGAACTTCTACCGCCACGCCGTTTACGTTCGTGAACGGAATGGGTACTTGTACCATGTACGGTCCCCCCACCTCACCCTTCGATTGGTTGTCACGTGGTCTCCGCGGCAAGCATTCACAACTCCATCGCACGGAACGACGTGGAGGAAATGGGCATTTGTTTCTTGCACGCCCTCCCTCCTGCCGATGAGCCAGCGGCGGAACAGCCAGCGGATCCACGCATTGTACAACTTCTTGACTCCTATGGCGACGTCTTTGAAGCCCCTGCCGGAATCGTACAGAATCAATCAGTTTGTCACGAGATCATCCTCGAAGACGGGGTCGTACCTCCACGTGGATTTATTTACCGCATGAGCGAGAAGGAACTCGAAGTGCTTCGAACGCAACTCGATGACCTCATTGACAAGGGTTGGATTCGCCCTAGCTGCTCGCCCTACGGTGCACCCGTTCTCTTCGTTCGGAAGAAGAACAAAAAGCTGCGCTTATGCATTGACTATCGTAAGCTTAATGCTCAAACAATTAAGAATGCCGGCCCGCTCCCACGCATCGATGATCTTCTCGAACGCTTGGGCAGTGCCAACGCCGCCAAGTATTTCTCCAAGTTGGACCTCAAGGACGGTTACCACTAGCTCGAGATCCATCCAAGAGATCGATACAAAACCACGTTCAAGACACGGTACGGGCACTTCGAGTGGGTAGTAATGCCATTCAGCCTCACGAATGCCCCGGCCACCTTCCAAGCAGCAATGACAACGGAGTTTCGCAACATGTTGGACTGGTTCGTGCTCATCTACCTCGATGACATCTTGGTATATAGCCGAAATTTGGACGAGCACATCGTGCATCTACGCGTTGTTTTTGACAAGCTACGTACGGCCAAGTACAAGGCCAACCAAACCAACTGCGAATTCGCGCAGCAAGAGCTCGAGTACTTGGGCCACTTTGTGACGCCGCAAAGCATTCGTCCGCTCGCGGGCAAGATCAAGGTCATTAAAGATTGGCCGAATTCAACCAACACCATGGAAGTTCGATCTTTTATGGGATTGGCCGGGTACTACCAATGCTTCATCGGAGGATACGCACGGATCGCTGCGCCCTTGTCAAGATTGCAGTCTCCAAAGGTGCCCTTCCAGTTCACCGACGAAGTCTGCAGTTCGTTTCACAAATTGAAGACGACATTGCTCCTTGCTCCCGTGTTGAATATCTACGATCCCACCTTGCCTACGAGAGTGACTACGAACGCTTCCGGCTACGGTATGGGTGCAGTTTTGGAACAACACGACGGAGTAGACTGACATCCGGTTGAGTACTTCAGCCAAAAGGTGCCTCCCATCAACTCGGTTGATGATGCGCAAAAGAAGGAGTTGCTTGCGTTTGTCACGGTACGCAAGCGTTGGCGACACTTCCTCCTCGGGCATCGTAGGTTCACTTGGGCGACGGATAATAACCCATGGACCTACTACAAGACGCAAGACACAGTGAGCAGCACAATTGCTCGATAAATGTACTTCACTGATCAGTTTGACTTCACACCGAAACACATTTCGGGCCTCTCCAACCGAGTCGTGGATGCTCTCTCGTGAAGATCAGATCTTTATGCATTGATTCACCACACGTTCAGTTTCGACGACGCCCTTCATCAGCATTTTGTGCGGGTATACAAGTCTGATCCGGAATACGCCATGCTCTACGAGCAACTATCCTCGGATCACCCGCCGGCCAGCCACTATTGCGTGGTCGATGGCTACTTGCTTCTGCACTCACGAGGCAAGGACTTACTATGCGTCCCACACGACCGTCACTTATGGACTCCGAGTCGCCTCCTCGGCGAGTACCACGACTTGAGACTCGCCGGCCACTTCAGAGTCAACCGTATGATCGCAAGACTTCGACAACGATTCCGGTGGCCCGACCTCATTACCGACGTCACTCGGTATTGCGACTCTTGCGAAGTTTGCCGACGAAGCAAACCCCGCAATCGCAACCCTTACAGCGAGTTACGCCCGTTGCCTATTCCGCGGGAACCCTGCCTCTCCATTGCTATGGACATCACCAACCCGTTCCCCCGTGACCGCTTCGGGCACAACGACATTCTCACGGTCGTTGACCGATTGAGCAAGTACGCACAATTTCTTCCTTGCAAGTACTATGCCACGACTCCTGAACTTGCTTGCCTCTTACACACCGGCTGGATTTGTGGCCACGACGTTCCGGAAGACATCGTCAGCGACCGCGACACTCGTTTTATGTTAACATTTTGGACCTCTCTCATGAAAGAGTCCGGCACCGAGATGAAACAAAGTTCAGCTCAGCATTCACAAACGGACGGGCAAACGGAGCGGGCACATCAAACCGCTCAAGTAATGCTTCACACACTCATCCGTACGGATCAGAAGGATTGGGTGGAACGCCTCCCCGACATTGAGTTCGCCTACAACACTTCGTTGCACCCGGCGATCGGCGTGACTCCATTCGAGTTGCACCACGGTGGCAGGAAAGACCGTATCTTCGCTGATCTTCCATTTCCAAGGACTGCTGACATTGACGCCGCTTGTTCTCCCGCCTCCGTTCGGAAGTATAGGGACTTGCTGGCTGAAGCCCGCGCCAACATGCAAAAGGCTCAAGTTCGCATGCAACAGCAAGCTAACAGGCGTCGCGTGCCATGCCCTATCCACGACGACGACCTTGTTTGGGTCTCCACGGAGGAGTTTGTGGTTGAACAAGACATATCCCGCAAGCTGCTTCCAAAGTGGTTTGGACCATGGCCCATCACGGCAGCCGGGGGCAATGAGCCCGATGACCCCTCATTTGTGATCGAAATCCCGCCGCATCTCACGGTGCACCCGGTTTTCCACGCCTCCAAGTTGGCCACATATACACCAGCCAAGAGCGACGACTTCCCGGGCCGACGATTGCAGGACCCTCCTTCCATGGATAGTCATCAGGAAGTCGACCGCGTCATCACACATCGCAAGCACGGCAACAAGCCAATGCAGTACAAAGTCACATTCAAGTGGTGTGACCGCGACGACACTCGATGGATTTCCCGGGCAGCTTTGCAAGCCTCCGCACCAGATATCTACGCTGATTATGAGAAAAAAACGGCTAGCCATGGAAGCTGCACAACCTCCCACCCGGACTTCAGTCCCTCCCTCCAACCGACAGCTACGCCCTCGCAGGTAAGCTCAGTCTTTCAAGGAGGGGGGAGTGTGGCATACTCTGTACCACACGGGCCCAACAAAGTCCGACAAGGTAGACTAAGGGTCAGTAGGTGTAGGGCCTATTTCGTTTCAGCCTAAAAGCCTGAAAACGAGGGCCTACAGGCCCTGTGTCGTTTCAGCGTGAAAGCCTGAAAACAAGGGCCTACAGGCCCTGTGTCGTTTCAACCTAAAACAGGGCCCTCCAGGCCCTGAGTCTTTTCAGCCTGAAATGGATGGCCATTT